GCGTTCTCCTACACGCGCGCCGCCGTTGCGTATAGGTTAGGAGAAGCTCCACGCCGCGAGCCGAGACGGAGCCGGGAGCCGAGAGCCGGACCGAGAGAGAGCGTCGCCTCGCGTCCCCGCCAGTTTCCCAGGCCGCCACGGAGTCCGCCCCCTGCGGCCAACCTGCGGAACTGCAGCGAGAGACCCGACGGACTGGGCGTCTCCGACACGTCCAGTATGGAATACGTTTTAAATGCTGCCCTTGACACCAGAATTGTTCTGGCGACTTTGAAGATTGCCACAGAAATAAAACATAGTCATATCTGTGAGGGAACTCAAAGGAGTTGGGCCAACAGGACCCACATTATCCATTCAAAATGTCCTTATCACCGTTACAATGCACGGTCCTGGGTATCATATCTCTCAGATGTTCCTTCCTCCTCTTCCTTATTCCTTCCACCCACTATATCAGAAAAATCCCCAAAGCTCAGGTATTTGAACCCTTTCCAGGTCACCTCTATGCAGGCAACAACCAAGTGTATATCCCTGGCCCTGACCCCTTACCTAATATACCCCATTGTTACCACAACACTGAATAACAAAACTAACTCATCATAATTTCACACAGCCACCCAGGCTTGAAACATCAAAGCCATATGCTTTCTTCATCTCTCCTCATTTCTCTGTATCCAATCAGTCAACAAACCTTGTTAATATTTCCTTTGGAATTATGTTTTTCTCTCTATTTGTACCACCATCACTTTATTGTAAGCCATTGTGATAGAGCTCTCCTTTGACCATTTTACTCTGTTGAGTCATAAGAATATTACTCCCAGTGGAATGCTTCAGCTGTTATTCATTTGCTCAAGAATCTACAATGGACTATATGTCTTATTTTAAACTGATTTTTAACCTAGAGTAATTTAGACAGTGTGTTATAGAAGTAAATAGACCAGTGGAACAGAATACAGAGCCCTGATACAGATCACACATATATGGAAGTTGATATGCAGCATGTGACATTTGAAATGAGTGGGAGGAAATGGATTATCTACTAAATGGTGCTAGGACTATAGATCATCCACATGGAAAATTATAAAATTATATCCGTACTTCACACCACAGAGGGGAAAAAGCAATTCTAGGTAGATTAAAGATGTAAATGTGAAAAGTAGATCTTTAAAACTTTAAGAAGAAAATAGGAGACCATCTTTCTGACCTTAGAATAGGGAATGAGAATAATTACTTAATATACTAAACGGATAAACAATAAGGGAATTGATTAGAACACTTAACTATATTACACTTCAAAATGTATGCACTCCAAGACAACATAAACAGTTAAAAGACAAGGCATGGACTAGGAGAACATTATATATATATGACAAAGGATAACCTGTGAGGTTCTACATTTCCAGCTAGTACCACCTTTCTGACTTCCTCTTCCACCATTCTCCCCAATTCACTCAGTTTAGACACACTGCTCCTTGCTATTCCTAGGACTTGACAGGCACACTCTTGCCTTAGGGCCTTTGCACTTGCTGTTTACCTTGCCTGCACTTGCACTTCCTTCAGGTCTTTTCTAAAATGGCACTTTCTCAATGAGGCCTTTCTAGACAACTTGATTTAAAATTGCACTTCAACAATCTCCTTTTCCAATCCTCTACCCTCTTCCTTGTTTATTTTTCTCCAGAGGATTTATCACTATCCATTAGTCTATTTTACTTATTAATTTTGTTTAGTGTATCCCTTCCCCTACTAGAATGTTAGTTCCATGAGGGCAGGCATTTTTTTAAATATGTATTTTTATTGATTTTTAGAGAGAGAGGAAAGGAGAGGGATAGAGAGAAATGTCAATAAGAGCAACATCAGCCCTAACTGGTTTAGCTCAGTGGATAGAGCATTGGCCTGCAGAGTGAAGGGTCCCAGGTTTGATTCCGGTCAAGGGCATATACCTTGGTTGCGGACACATCCCCAGCAGGGGGTATGCAGGAGGCATCTGATTGATGTTTCTCTCTCATCAATTTCCTAACTCTCTATTACTCTCTGTAAAAAATCAATAAAATATATTTATTTAAAAAGAAGAGAGAGACACATCACTGGTCAGCTGCTTCCTGCATGCGCGATACTGAGGATCGAGGCCACAACCCAGGCATGTGCCCTGAAGGGGAATCTAACCAGTGACTTCTCGGTTCCCGGGTCAATGTTCAACCATTGAGCAAAACCGGCCAGGCAGGAGGGCAGGCATTTTTGTCAGTTTTATTCATTGCTTCATTCCCAGTGCCTAGAACTATTCTTATAACAAAATAGATGCTAGAAAAATATTGATTAAATGAATGAATGAACTAGTAGCTAGAATATAAAAGGTCCTCTATAAATCAGTGAGCAAAAAAGAAAATTAGTAGAAAATTGACAAAATATATGAATAAGAACCTCATAGTCAAGGAAACCCAAATGGCCAATAAAGACACAAAAGGATGTTTCACTTAATTACTCTTTAGGAAAATTGAAAATTAGAACCATGAGATAGCATTTCATGACCATTAGTTCGACAAAAATTAAAATTCAGATGATACCAAGTGTTGTTGAGGATGTAGAACAGATAGAACTCTGATCAATGTGAGAAGGAGTATAAGTTGGTAGAACTGCTATGAAAAAGAATTTGACATAATACAATAAAATTGTATATGTAATATATTTCAACCTAGAAATTCCATTTCCAGTTACAGAACTGGGAAAAATTCTCCACTTTGTGCACAAGGAGGGCATGTAAAAGAATGTTCATTGCAGAATTCTTTGCAATCTCAGAAAAAAAAGGAAGCAAATTAAATGTCCATCAGCAGGTGAATGGATAAATAAAGCATAGTATTCATGAAGTTGGTTACTATTTTTAAATTAAAATGAATAACTCAAACTATATGTATTAACAGTGTTAGGTATCATAAAATACAACGTTGAACATCAAGGGAATATTGCAAAACATGTACAGTATACCATTTATATAAAGTCTGCAAATATTGTATGTTGTTTATGGCCACATAGATATAATAGTAAAAGTCTATAAAACATGAAAGGGCAGGCCAGGGCCGGATTGCTCAGTTAGTTAGAGCAGAAAGTTGTCCTGATACTTTCTAGTTTGATCTCCGGTCAGGGCACATACAAGAATCAATCAATGAATGAGTAAAATAAGTAGAACAACAAATCTCTCTCTCTCTCTCTCTCTCTCTCTCATAAAAAAAAAAAACATGAAAGGGCATAATCACCACCAAAAGAGGGAGTGTACTGAGACTGGAGAGGAATATACAGAGAATATCACCTATATCTGTAATATTTATTTTTTTAAAACACAATCTGAAAGTTGATGTTGCAAGATTTGATATAATTAGGTGGTTGCTACATATACTGGTTATGTTATTTCATGTTACTTCCTGCATTTTAAATTGTTTGCTATCAATGAAAAGGAAATAATATGTAGGGGAGGGTCAGCCGTGTCAAATGCTGAAAACAGGACAAGGAAAATGAGGATTGAGAGACTGTGTTCAGATGTGTCAAGGAGTTCACTGGAGACCACAAAATAAATGCTTTCAATAAGTGGTACAAACAAGGTGACAATTGAGAAGGAGCGTATCATGAGGAAATGGAGATGAGAGACCATGTATTGCAGAGGTTTGAGTATAAAAAGGAGTGGAATAAAATGTTAATTAAATTAGTTAGAAGGGTCAAAGAGAAATACTTGGCAAAACCTGAAGCCACTTTAAAACAAAGGGGAAGGAACCAGTGATGGGGGGGCATTTAAGATACTAGTGAGGAAAACAGAAATTTTGCAAGAAAAATTCCTCAGTAATTAGGAAGGGCAAGGATCCAAGTTGGAGATGGACACATCAATCTTAGAGAAGCTCATACTTCCTCCCCCAAGTCTACAGTATCATCAGCATGTAAAATAGTGCCCTGCATATAGTGGGGTACTCAAGTATTTGTTGTAAAGAATAAGAGGTGGTGCCCTGGCAGTGTAGCTCAATTGGTTAGAACATTGTCTCAATATGATATGGCAAGTTTTCGGTTTTGATCCCTGGTCAGGGCACATATAAGAATCAACCAATGAGTGCATAACTAAATAAAACAGCAAATCCATTTCTCTCTCTCTCTCTCTCTCTCTCTCTCTCTCTCTCCACTCCCCCCCTCCTTCTCCTCCCCCTCCTCTTCTTCTTCTTCTCTCTCAACAAATAAAAATGAACAACAAAAAAAGAAGTTGTGAAGAAATGGAGGCGAGGACACTAAAACTTCTGGTTTTCCAAAGAGGAGATGATGCTTTTCTCAAAAAATGTAATAAGTGGATGTTGTAATAAAAAAAATAATTCCTAATGCAGGTGACTAACATTGAATATTCACCTGACAGACATTCCTCATGGCTTTGCATACATACTTTTAAAAATTTAATTATCACTAAATCTCTGTAAAGAAATAATGTTTCTATTTTAAAGATGAGAAAACTGAGACTCAGAGAGGTTTAGCAACTTGCTCATTAACTAGTAATTGGCAGAATCGCGATTCAAACTGACATTTGTCTAAATCCAAAGCCAGAGAGGAAGGGAGAGGGAGAAAGAGTTAGAAGCATCAAGGATGAGAGAGAATCATTGATCAGCTGCCTCCTGCATGCCCCACACTGGGGACTGAGCCTGCAACCCGGGCATGTGCCCTGACACTCAACCACTGAGCCACACCAGCCATGCAAGGCCAGAGCTTTTTAACCAAGATAGTTTGCCATTCATTCAGTATTAATAGTAAAAACAATATTTATTTGGAACCTTCGATGTGCCAGGTACTATGGTACCTGCTCTACCTGAATTATCACATTTAACCTGATGAAATTAAAGTTGAGAGTAGAGAAGGGTTTGAGAACTTAAATAAGGCAGAGAAGGGGGGAAGGCACTGTTGGAGAGTGATAGTGAATGCAGAAAGGTTAATAAAGGGTTTTAGAACAACAGAGAGAGCCCCATTGGAAGCAGATGGCACGACTTTCTATAGTGATCCAAATGAGCATGCATCTATAACTTTCTCTGGCAATGCTTGGCACATGGAAAGCAAGAGTAAGAAAATATACCAAGAAGGTACATTAGGCTTGGGAATTAGTATAGCAGGCACAGCAGAAGGTCACGGGGTGAGGGAGTCTAAAGTGGTGCTTAGGATGCATTGAAATAGCTGGCCCTATAGTCAAAGTTAGGTGAAGATATGAATCCCCTCAGACTAGGGCCAGCCAAGGGAACAAAGGCAACCTTGATGAATTTAATCATTTCCTTAGGCCTGATCCTGTGGTAAATTGTTATATCTCCTTTGGGGGGATCATTTTGGGGACTGTATGTGCTTCTGTACATACAGAAGCCATTTTTGTAAGTTGAATAAAATCATTTTTTTTAAATTCACAACTGCCTTCTGACTTATCTGTGGTTGTTAATGACATCACTGTTTAACTAGTCATTCAAGTTTGAAACTTCAGGTTTATCCACCAACCCTGCTTCTCCTTCACCTATGATACTCCATAAATCAAGTTTTGCCATTTCTATAGTAAATTCCTTAATGT